GTACATAAAGATGTGTCCGAGGCCACAGAACGAATTGCGTCAGAGCTGGGCGTGCGCATCGCTCATCCTCCGCCGGCCGACATGCGTAGCAGGATCATGAAAATCAAAGATCGGCTGGACGCAGGTGAAGAGTCGGGCGTAGTCTATCAAATCCCCTGCCACAACTGTCCCGGCCATTACACAGGCCAAACAGGACGGCGTCTCAACTCACGAATACTTGAGGACAAACGGGCCGTTTGGGAGAGGCGACCCACTATCTCAAGTCGCCACTCACACGCTGGAGGAAGGCCATGAGTTCGACTTCGCCAACACGCGTATATTGGCGAGAGCCGGCAATCTAGACGGGGCGAGGACTGTTGGAGGCGTGGGTGACGGACACCGACTCTATCAATAGATTGATTTGCCTGCATGTTATCACGCCCTACGCCCACGCAGCCAGGTGGCGCAGCTCACATCTCCGCGAAGTGCAAATGGCGTCACCACGTCGGGGGACCATTGTGGACCAGGCGGTAAAAACCGGACCTAGTCACGGACGTAGTCCTCCCCCGCACAGAAAGACGATATAAATGTTCACACGTTGCTGCATTTTAGCCGTCTGTGATGATGAACTCCAGTTCGAGTTCGAATGCTAAGGCCAATAAATCTACCGTCCCAGTGATCGTGCCTTCGTCTTCTTTTGAGTAATCAATCTTCACGGCACATCAGCATAAGCTCCACCGTAGTAAACTCTCACCTGCGAACTGGCAGGATAACTGGGTTTTCATGGTGAGGATAATAAAGTGACTGGAGGACTGCGTGGTCTCTTCTTAACGTGGGATTTATGGCAGCCTCGCACACGTGGGACTCGGGTCTTTTCCCCGTGCAGACGGGCTACCTTGCGTCTGGCCCCACTCCTTGGGCCCACCTAGTAGAGCGATGGTGGACGTCATCTACGACGGTCATCTGCGGCCTCCGAAACGTGCTGCACATGCGTTCGACGGAGCGTCATGCCACGCCAGTTTGTAAATCTGCCTACATGATGAATGCATTTCACAAATGAAAAGCCGGCTGTCATGTATCCGGTCATTTTTGTTTGAAGGAGTCTTTCGGTTTCTCAGACGTACAGTGGGTGACCGATGTCATGAAACGTTGACTGGAATTATGAAATGCGTTTTCGACTGGGAAGGATTACATGGTCGCGTTTGTAATACTGATTATCTTGCGGCATAATCCTATAATATTTCGGACACGGCATGATGTCTCCTTTTGAATGCATTGTCTTTTAATCTCCCGTAGAAATCGTACTCGGTAAAAAGTGACTGGTTATTTGGCATGCATTTTCCCATTGATTTTCGATGTTTTTTCAAGTTCTAATATATCTTATAAAAATCACAAATTCATAGATGTTTTGGCAGATTTCGAATAATTCATATTGACCCAACTGTGAAAAACTCGGTGACTCGGTGGGATTCGAAAACGCAACAGAAAGGGGAAGGCTTTAGTACAGCCAACGCTGTAACCACAATGGAGTCAATAGGAATTATTCAAAATCTGCCAAAACATCTATGAATTACGTAAGCCTGGTAGTCATCTGGTGGATTCTAGGTGAATTACTTAGGAAATCCTGCTTGGGCAGTCAACTTACTGTATCAGATTTGGTGGATTCCAGACGCTGCAGTAGGTTGGACGGGTAAACTTGACTCAAATGTGATTAAACTCGAGTCATCCGGCGGGGCCTCGTAGCTCAGGTGGTTAGAGCGTTGGCTGTATTAAAGCCTTCCCCTTACTGCGTGGGTTCGAATCCCATCCAGGCACCGAGTTTTCCACAGTTGGGTCAATATGAAAAATCACAACCAAAAATTTGCTTTCTATCAGTCTTTTGATAGAAACTCACGTCTTCTTTATATTTTGTGCTCAATAAAGGATTATAATTGGGTTTTAAAAGGCTTTCCAATTCCCGAAGCATTTGAAGCCTGATCAGACGTTGCATTAGCGCTTAATGATTTCAGTCTACAAGGGACATGCACTCCGCGTAACGAGAATCGCATATTTTTCTGCGCCTTTAAAACGATATCCTACAGCCTTCATAAAATTTTGCGATGGATGCGGACTATATCCCACCTTTCATGAGAAGCTTTGGTAAACGGCTAGGTGAATGGAAACTGTGCGGTCTTAAAATCGCATAATGAGGAACCTTTTAAGATTTAGTTAGACTCCTTCCTTGAGCGTGAAATATAAATAAGCCGTAATTCTCTATCAAACGATTGAAGGAAAGCACATCTTTGTTCTTGGTTTTCATAACGTATATTTGAGTTTGCAAAACCATCGAAATCAATTGGAAAAATGCATGCTACATAATTAGTCATTTTTTTACAAAGTACGGTTTCTACGGGAGATTGAAATGCAGTGCATTCAAAAGGCGACATCCTGCTGAGTCCGAAATATTATAGGGTTATACCGCAAGATAATCTGTTTAACATACGCGCCTAAGTAATCCCTCCTAAACGAAAACGCATTTTAGAATTCCAGTCAACAATTCATGAGATCGGTCACTCATTGATGTTGCTTTATTGGCAAACGCACCAGATCCGATTAACGACTGCAGGCGTTTATTGCCGTGGCAGTGGGTTTTCCGGTCTCAGGTTTGATGGTTGCCTGCGGTTGTGCAACTTAAATCCAAAGTTTTGAGAGACGTCTGCAGCCATTTATCGGTCTGGCGCAGTTGTAGACAAAGCACGCCCTAAATGTAGAAATTGGTTATGGGTGCGCATTTCAGATGAAACCTGTCAGAATCCGATGCAGTCGTCGTGCTGTGGGGCCCCCTTAAGGGGCGCTGTCACTGCGTACAGTCGCCTTAAATACCCACAGTCCTCTATGCACATCTAAGAAGTCTTCCAAAGACCAGGCAAGGTGAAATTACTAAAATCCCACCTTTGCTAAACACGGTTTACAAAAATGAACTTGAGTGCGGTGCTTTTGCCCAGCCCTAGAAAACTAAACTTCCGAAACAGTTCTTCTCAACAGCTTAAAGCAGTATTTAGCGTAGTGTGTTTCCGGTTACCCTTGTACACTAAGAAGACGCTGGGACTAAAGGCAAAGCGTGGCATATGTCAAAAAACGAATTTACAGTTTGAGCACATTACACCCAATGACACATGGATTACATTTGTTTGGCCCGTGGATTGCGTAGAAGTACGAAGTATATAGAGACATCTTACGGTGGATGTGCTTACTCATGAAATGTCAACCAAAATTTCGAAATGCGTTCTCGTTTTGAAAAGATAAATTAAGCAGTGTTGTAAAACTAATCACGATGCAGCATAAATCTATAATGATCCAGTTACCACAGGGTGTCGGCTTTCGAAAGAACTTATTTTTGGCTGCATGCAAGATCTATACTCTGCAAAAAACGACTACTTAAGTAGCATGCAATTTTCTCACTGATTTTCGATGCCCTTGAAAATTCAATTATTTTTCATGGAAAACATCCATCCATAATTAACTAATCTTTTTGAGGCGGAAACGTAGTTCGAAGCACGGGGAAAACACGCTTTGCTAGGTGCATGAAGCAGATTTTTAAGTAAAAACGCATTTCGAGAAAGTTCGTTTTATCTGTTAGCTGTAAAAATGAAATGACCATTTCCTGTTGAAGGTCACTGTATACCCTAGAATGTGTTACCTGAAGAGCATAAATATTAATTACAAGTCCGTAAGTCGTTCCTGCTGCCTAATATGCAGGAAGGAGGCAATAATTAGAGGATTATTGTGATTTGTGTAGCTAGAGATCGAATGAATGGTGCATAGTCACCATTTAATTGGGGCTTTTTAGGGTGCGACTTCTCAGGACAGAAAGGGCGGAGACCTAAAGTAGTGAAATTGAGAAAAATCCTATTTTCGTCGTATTCGTGCTATAGTATACTAACGAAGTGCTGCAATAAACTCGCGTAAAGCATGAAATTCCCTGAACGAAGTTTAGGTGGGAAGCATAAAGTAGGTGAGTTAACTCATTAAATGTCAACCGAAATTCCGAAATGAATTTTCGTTTCGAAAAGATTAATTAAATAGGGTTGTAAAACTAGTCAGTCTGCAACATTATTCTATATTATTCCAGTTACCTCAGGTTACCGGCTTTCAAATGAACTTTCTTCCGGTTGCATGAAAAACTACACTCTTTAAAAAAATGACTACATAATAACGCGTGAATTTTTCTAATTGATTTTCGATGCCCCTAAATGTCCAATTATACTTCCTGGAAAACATGCAGAAAAAAATTTATTCTTTTGCTCATTCGGTCGACAAATACATTTTCTTCTAATTTTATACTCGAAGGAGGGACATAATTCGGTTTTAAAAAAGTATCTTATTTTGGGACTTTTAAATACCGGGAAATGATCGTTCATAAATCGTCATATCTCTTCATTTAACAATCTGCCTTGTGAAGTTAAAAATATCGATTAAATCCGCTGCTTAAGTTTATGAAACCTATACGGTCTTCCTTAATTGCCGTAAAGAAATGTGTGGTTTCCATACGCAAAAAGTATACGGCCTGTAATTTGGAAACCCCGAATCTAAGTGTGACGGTAGAGCGGGTTCAAAATTATTCAGCGATGGGAAAAGTTTTCGAAAAGTAAATTATACCCTTCCCTTGAGTTTAAAATTGAAAGAAGATGCAATTGTCTGCCGAGTGAGCAAAACAATTAATATTTTTCTGCATGTTTTCCATGAAATATAATTGAACGCTTAGGGGCATCGCAAATCAATGAGAAAAAGTCACTCAATTTAAGTAGCCATTTTTGCAGTGTAGACTTTGCATGCAGTAGAAGGAAGTTCTTTCAAAAGCCCGAGCAGTTTGAAAATTCTACTTAATTAATCTATTGAAACGAAAACACAATTCGGAATTTAGGTTAAAATTTCATGAGTAAGCCCACCTAAACCAATTGGGGCTTTTTAAGGTGCGACTACTTGAGACAGAAAAGGCGCTGATATAAAGAAGGGAAATTTATAAAAAAGCTATTCAGAGAATGAAGATGCGATCGCTGGATCAAGAAATTGATTTGCCTGACGTTTCGGATTCTCACTCGAATCCATCATCAGAGATTTTCGCAGATAAAGTTGAAGCTGCCAACATGATCGCAGCATTGGAATCAATAGTCAGCCAGACGGGAGCGACAGATGAAACGAAGAACCTCATTCAACACCAATTGTCCTCCCTCCCCATGGCTCATAGGCCGCGCGATGTGCTTTCCAAGGGCGAGCGGGATGCACTTAAGGAATTCAGGGCCGACAACGACCTCGTTATCGTGCCTGCGGACAAGGGGCGTTTAACGGTCGTATTGGACAGGGCAAACTACAATCAAAAATCCAAAAGCTTGTTGGAAGATCGTCAGTCCTATGTCCCATGCGAATCCAACCCCATGAAAACGCTGACACGCGAGATTAACGCGACGCTGTTGGCAATGGAGAACTCAGGTGCAATATCGACCGACGCATGGCGAGAGCACAAGAAACGGCCCTAGCCCGATTCTACAGTTTCCCAAAAGTGCACAAAGAGGGCGCTCCTCTCCGGCCTATCGTATCACTAAAGGGCACTCCAATCTACGAACTGGCAAAGTGGCTGTTCCAAAGTCTCTAGTTTCTGACCTCCGATTCGAACACCACAGTCAGCTCGTCAACGCAATTCTTGGAGAAACTTAAAGGAGTAAGTCTCCTGCCAAGCGATATCATGGTTTCCTTTGAAGTCACGTCCCTTTTTACTTCTATCCCGCAGGACCTGGCAGTCGAGACAATCGAACTTTTCCTACGAGAGAAGTACGACGAAACGGAGAATGGCCTCGGACACGCCCAAATCATCCAGCTCCTGAAGTTCTGTCTCAAGACGTACTTTACATTCGACGGAACAATCTACGAGCAGGTGGAGGGAACGCCAATGGGTTCGCCGATTTCGGGACTCATAGTCGAGGCGGTCCTACAACGGCTGGAGTCGCTGGATTTCCGACACCACAGACCGAAATTCTGGGCTCGGTATGTGGATGACACCTTCGTCGTCATCAAAGGGATCAGATGCTGACTTTCAAAGAACAATTCACGCCGTCTTCCCGGACATTCAATTTACGATGGAGGAGGAGGAGGAGGGGGAGGAGGAGGAGGGGAGGAGGAGGAGGAGGAGGAAAACAATCAGCTGGCCTTCCTGGATGTCCTCATCTGCCGCAAAGATTGTGGTGGCCAAAAAGCCAAAGTGTTCAGGAAAGCGACAAATACGACGCAAATACTGAACTTCAATAGCAACCACCCGATCAGTCACAAACGCAGTTGCGTAAGGGCGCTATACCGGCGTGTTGAGACGCACTGCAGTGAAATGGAAGACAAGGTTGCTGAATTACAATATCTTCGACGGGTAATGAAAGCCAATGTTTACCCGCGCAACTTTGTCAACCAGTGCATACGAAAAGGACACCAGAGACCAAATCCAACCAGCCACAAATTTTGGCGGGCTCTTCCGTACGTGAAGAACGTCTCGGAAGCCGTCAGTCGTCTTCTCACTCCACTTGGAGTTGGGGTTGCACACAGGTCGGAAGCAACCATTAAGCGCCAAGTCATGAGGTCAACAGACCCGCTGCCACTGCAGGACACATCTGGAATCATTTACCGGATCTGGTGTAGTTGCGGACAAAGCAACTACGTCCGAGAAACTGGGAGATGACTCCGTACGCGAATTGCCGAGCACGCAGCAGCAGTGAAGCGGGGAGACGCTAACTCTCAGGTGGCGGCACACTCGACGGGACCCGGCCATATTTTCAAATTTTAAGAGGCCGAAATCTTCGCAAGGGGTGACAACCGCGTGAGCCGCAAGCTGCTCGACTCAGGGTTCTCAGGCCCGCAATCCATCAACAAACACAATGACCTCCCGGTGGCCTATTCCGTATTGCGATTTTCCCTGGGCAGGAGAATTAGTCACGCGGGGAGGGCGCGGACGAGCAATCATCACGGTGACAGTGAGCCAGTTTGCCGAGCAATCGTCCAATCAGCATCCAGCACGGATGACGAAATAACGGCAATTATCGATTCGGACTCGGACTGACAAGCCACCACCGCATCAATGACGACCCCAGCGGCGATTGCGAGAACTGTTAATTACAGTGCGCATACGGTCCCACGGCAGCCACGCGCTATAAATACTGCACTCCTGGTGCCACCTTCACCTTTATCTGCGAATGTCTCTGATGATGGATTCGAGTGAAAATCCGAAACATTAGGCAAATAAATTTCTTGTTCCAGTGATCGCATTTTCATCTTCTGAACTGCTACCTGGGACTCGCCTGTTCGCTTCTGTCAGCAAAAATGCTGTTTTCGTCGTAGGCATGTTTTAGTATATTAAGGAAATTCTGCGAAAATCTTGTGTAAAACAAAAGATTCTCAGAACAATGTTTAGGAGGAGAGCATATATTCCATGCCCTTTAACACGCAAGAAAATCACAATTTAACTAATCTTGATTGAGCTTTATGGAACATATAGATTAGTTAACAGAAAAGCATCCAAGAAGTTTTTAATTATTCGAAAGTTTATTGTGCTAAAATAACTTTTTACGCCAGGCACACGCAGCAGTGATCTATTCTCCAACAAATGCCTCAATCTGACTGCCCATGTAGGCATGTGCCTCGGGGTGCTTGTATATTGTAAGGAGTTGAGTTGATAATAACCGTGTCCAATTTTCATACATATGAGCATTAGTAAGGCCCAAATAAACTAAAAATTCAAATAAATTATAATGCGGATATGCGCCATGCACCCCGAAGTATCATGCATTATTCGACACATTGAGTTAGATGTCATGCACAGAAATCTCAGGGAAAATTGGAAGAAACGAGAGTCAATCAATTCGGAATGACGCACACGACGGCCGCTTACTGGCGCAAAAACCAAATTAATATTGATTTTTTCAGCACATTCGAAATGTTAGTTGCCAGGTGTGCGAGCGCATGTTTGTGCTTCCCGTCCCACCTAGTGGTTAGGGCTATGACTGGCTGAATTAAGGTGAACAAGCCAGAAACAGGGCTGTATCAATCTACCCCCCAGACTGTGTCGTCTCCCATCTGATTAGGGAGCCCCTATGGGATCACCCATGGCTAGCTTTCTCGCAGAATTCGCGATGCAAAAATTAGAGCCTATCTTCTTACCAATAGTTAACCCCAAGATATGGGCATGTTATGTTGATGACACGTTTGCTATTGGTAAAAGAGATCAACTGGAAATTCTCCACAGCATCATTAACTCAACACTTTCAGGAATCCCATTCACACTCAAGAAGGAGATTGACAGCTAATTCCCACTTCTAGATGTCCTCGTACAGATGAAGACTGACGTGACATTTTACACATCAGTCTACCGCAAGGAAACCTACGGGGAAATTCTTTTGCACTACGAGAGCAATCACTCACAAACTGAGTGTCCTGAACAGCCTCCTTAACCGAGCAATAAACTCACTGCTCTGACAACGAAACCTATCAAACAGAGCTGAATTATTTGTTCGAACGGTTTTCCCAAAATGTGTATCCTAGAGATTTTGTACACCGATGCATGAGACAACATGAGCTAAAAAAAGACCAGAAACTATATTGATTTGGTCAGGCGCCCAAACCAAAAAACCGGCGAACACTTTCCTACATTAAAAATGCGTCCGAACTAGTTAAAAGACATCTGAGAATGCACCAAATACACGTGGCGCACAGACCGACGACTATACCTCGTAGGCAGCTTGTACACCCTAAGGATAAGGTTGGCTATTTAGATAAGGAAGAAATTCATCTATAAGATACCACGCAGCACCTGTAATGCAGTTTACTGTGGTCAAACCGGGAAATCTTCCCCCGCACGCATACACGAAAATCAGTTGGCGGTAAGAAGGCGAGATCAATTGTCTCAAGTTGCCATACATATGCTGGAAGCCGGACACAACTGCGCATGTAACAAGACTCGCAATGTAGGTGTCTGCTCATCTAAGAAGGACAGCGAATTTTTAGAGGCTATTCACTCTGATAACGCATGCATCAGTCGATACATATAATTGAATTTTGCGTATAACAACATTAAGGAAAAGTGAAGGAGGCGTTAACTAGTTAGAAAATGCTGGCAGTCTGCAGTGAAGACTCACTAGCAGGAGTGACGGGGAAATATCGACCTGTAGGCATATTTAAATTTTAATTGTTTTGTGCACGTGATTCACGTCTGAGGACGACTTGGGCAACCAAAATCGAAAATGCATAAATAAATTGTGTTATCTATCCCAAAGAACTTATTTCTTTCGAATATATTATTTGTCTGAGGTTGCTAATTTCGAGTTGAAACGAGCAAGCAAATTCAGAGTAACCTAGGTTGTTAATTGCAGCGAGAAGTTTTATTTTGATTTCTGAAATATCGCAGCCAAATGCCTCTATTTGTCCGGCCCGAACAACAGATTTCTAAATGCACTCATTAGCAAACGCAGACGAGACGGGCGAGTTAGCTAACCAAATCCATGCAGTTCGGCATATCACAGTCTGCCAATCATTTAATCGGTCTCAGACGTGTACCTGAACTGAGCCCTATTTTTCTATGATCCCACAAGACTGGAGATCTAATGACATTAACAGACGAGACAGACAATTTGACACAACAATTCTACGCCGCCACGGTTAATCTAGTCCGCACACATCCTAACCTCGTTCCCCTCCCCGCCTTGACTTGAGTGAAAACAGTCGTCTTTCAGCTGACGGAGTGCTTTACGAAACTAAGTGTAAAATCAGTTGGGGCAAAGCGCGTGACGAGACCTGCCGGGGGGTGGGGCGTGCGTCATTCAGTCAATCATCGATGCATGTGTGACCTGAGTAATTTTCCTCCAAAGGTTGCGTCGAGGGCAGAGGCGTAGTCAAACGAGACGGCGGATTTGACCCCGCAGGCCCACGCCATCACAGTTCATATAGTCCGCACCCACATGCAACAAACGCAAGTTAGTCGAGGACACATTGGTATGGAAAGACTTTGTTGTTCAGATGCATCACGCGATGTTTGCCCATATGACCATAAAATAGCGTCATGCTGTCTCCACTTTGGTCTCGCATGATCGAACGAAACGGTAGAGTTAACCCCGCACACCCACGACTTTGCTGATCTCGGTGTCTACCAATCATCCCTCCAGCATTTTCCTATCGTCAAAGAACTTGATCTGAAAGGAATGTGAACTCCACATTGCAGCATCTGTTTGCATTGCAAAAAATGATCGTATCCGACTTCTGTAGGATCAGCTAGGCATAAAACGAGTAATAAATCAGCAGATTAAACACTACATTAGACATGGAGACAGCACTTATACATTCAATGATATTTACCGACGAACTGCATTTTCAGGTCTACAATCCCTAGACACAGCCTCATTCCCATTGGTCAATATCTAAAATGTCCCAATGTGTTTGCAGCTAAATGATAATTTATTTTGTACTTTTCCTAAAATACATGAAATCTCTGCAGACAAATGCTTAGAGACCGGTCTGAGCCTATAGATCTTGAATAAACTGATCTACTCCAAGTGTGTAGATAATTTCTGAGGAAATTAAAAAGCGACAATTTCTAAATTTAAGTATCTATCAAAAAATATACGGGGAATGCTAGGGGGCACGCTGGCTGGCCGAACCTCTCGCAGCTGCGCCATGCAACGGCAGAATATCCGCGAAACTTGCATGTATGGGCTTCTGGATGTTACCTGTGCTGTTAGTATAAGTAAAGTATACTGCACTCCGTAAAAAAGGACTATTTAAGTAGCCTCAAGTTTTCTCATTGATTTTCCATGTTTTTAAAAATTTACATATAGAGAACATGCATAAAAGTATTCATCCCTTTACTCAGTTGGTAGAAAATTACGACTTCTAATTTTATGCTCGAAGGAAGGGCATAATGTGTTTTTAAAATTTTTCCAATTTCCGAATAATTTTAAATCCGAACTGCCGCTACACTTGCATTTAGTGTTTCCAAATTAAAAGTTGTATATTTTCAGTGTACGGAAGACCATCCATTTCTCTACAGTATTAAGAGAAGAC